GCAAAGCATGGATTCCAGCATCCTGATGTCGGTGGGCCGACAGAACAAGGGAATTGGTTCGTAGCCTGTGTCGCGTAGTTAAACTCGAAAGTAGCTGCCGGTTGGTGATGAGACTATCTAGAGATTGCTGATGGAATTGCCAACTGCAAGGACGGCACTGTGGCAAAGCGACTTTTAACAGTCCCGCTGGTGGATGAACATGGCGGTTCGATGGTGACTGTTGTTGTCAGAAATGCGAGGCAAATAAACGAACTTGGTGAAGTTGTCTTTCCTACGAAATTCCAACACGTGATATTAAGTAGACATTTTCAGGTTGTAATGCCTTTGCTGCTCTCTGAAGCTTTCACTCTAAGCAAACAGGCATCAGTGGACCATTAAGTCAATAAAAAGAATGACTTAAGCTTTGAGCACCAAGTGTGCTCAAGACAGAGAGCAGCAAGTCTGGTTTGCTGAAGACCTGACTGCTAATATGAAGAAAATGATCGACCGTAAGAAATAAAAGCAACGGAAAGAAACAAGAAACGATGCGACTGTTCAGTCTCAACATGTGATCCAAAATTCGAAAGCTCTTGGACCGTAAAATGTAACTAGCGGATAAATAAATATTTCAAGATACCAAATGTAGGAACTTTCATGCTAAAAAAATTGCCTTTGTATAAGTATGAACCAAAATTTACTTGAAGACAGATTCCTGCTTCTCAGGACACTCCTTAATGCATCCAACGAACGCTTGCAAAGCCATCTGCAAACACTGCGGGGTGTAAACCCGACAGTTGGAGAGGAGTTCACAGATCGTATTATGAATTGCTGATGATGCATTCTGAAATTAACAGAGAAAAAAAGATACAAAACAGCACCAGCAACGTACATGCAACGCCGTAATGATCACTTCGAGTTGATCCTCGGTGAGTACTACGTGCAACAAGGGCTTCGACAGATTCCGAATCAGCGTCAGCCTCACTTCTTCAATTTCGTCGTTAAACACGTCCAGAAGCATATTCATTGACTTCTGAGCAAAAGGTGCGGACTGTGATGCCAGCTGACAAGTGGACCATACGCAAGCATTTCTGACATCTAAAGAGGAGAGTTAAAAAACAGATATTGTAACACGAACCCTTGTGTTCATCACGAGCCTTTGTGTTCATCCTCGAGTCCAAGGACGAATGAACCGCAGCAGCTCTGTGGTATGACAAAAGCTGAATCGACCATTATCAATTCCATTGGAATCGAAGGTTCGTAACGATAGCCAGTAGAAGACCTGGCAAAAACTTCCTGGAATTCAGCATCGGACAACTAAAAAGCATCTTATGAAAGCATGAAGTTCAAACACCGAAATAAACAAAGACACGGTTTCCCGGTTTTTAAAATTATAATATTAA